TCTCTCTCTCTCTCTCTCTCTCTCTCTCTCTCTCTCTCTCTCTCTCTATGGCAGTTTCTCACTCTCCCGGCTCGACTCGGATCAGCACGGCCGTTCGTTCACATTGTGTGTTTGCGCGCCTCAATCTATATAAATATATGTTGAATTTGAAATACCGGAATCGGTATCAAGCAAGGAGCTGCTCAATTCAATTTAATCGAAAAATATTAAGCGAATCAGTGAGTTTTCTCTTTTCTTTCAGCTTGTGTGTCTTTCGTCCGCATGAAAAACTCTCTGGCCTTTTATTCTTGACATCAAATCACATCGTTTATATTGTATTCTTCTTTTTCTATTTAGATTTTTCATCCATTTCACACACCGCATCGGGCTAGGGTGTGAAGCTACATGTAGATAAATGCTCTGTGTGATTCCATTTGATTTCGCTTCGTTTTTTTTCTTCCTTTCTTTTCGAACGCTCACTATCGTTTCATTGTAACATTGTAACGGCTTGTGTGTTTCCGTCTCTTTCTCAAAAAGAATTTATGACTTGAAATTCGAATCGACTCAATGTTCGATTTATAAACACAAAGCGGTCGCATTTTTCTTTCTTCGCGTTGGTTTTCTCTTGCCTCTCGACGGATATCTTTCAAGAAAATACAATTAAAGCGAACCAATTTGTTAAAGCCGATTATCCAATCAAAATGGATACAATAACAAATGCGGCGAAAAAAAAGAGGCAATTTGAGAACTAAAAACCACTTCAACAACAAGAACAACGATGACAACAACAACGGAGGGAAAAATGACCACCGTTTTTGTTATGTCGTTCTTTTGATTTTTCATGAATGCACACAAAATGCGACGAACACAATACGAATGGATTTTTTGTTTGTTGGTTTTGGTTTGGGTTTTATGCTGTTGTTCAATTAAATTTACCTAGAATTTTGATTTGTTTTTCATGCACATTTTCACCACGTTTGCACTTTTATTCCACGTATTCCCCGTGTAACTGTTTTGATGCCTTCCAAATATTTTGTTTTATTGCAATGGTTTTTTCTTTCTTGTCTGCACTTTTCGTTTGCAATTTGATCAGATTTGCTATTGGCGTTTGTTTTTTTTTTTCGATGCATAAACACAAATATATTCAGTTGTTTGGTAATTTACTCCGTTCGAACTGTGTTGTATTTCAGTTAGAATGCTATCCCACATTCGAAGCCGTTTTGCTACTTCCACTCACGAGAAATTGTTTGCCAATTAGCACTTGTGTATTGGCTCAGCACAGATAAATATGTTGTTGTTCGTTGTCGTAGTGGTCGTCATCGAACAAAGAGAAAACCGATATGATTCTCGTTCTTTTTTCACATGAAATCGAGATCGCCTTAATAGCAATGCTCGATAGCTATCGATTGCTCGTTCTGACCACGCTCAAAATGATTTATCACGAAAAATAGTGCAAGTTGCCAAAAACAAAAACTTTTCACAGCGTCGTTGTTGCTGCTATTTATTTTCTTCGTTATTTCTCTTGAGCAGCGAACTTCACATTTAAAATAATTTATCATGAAAATCTAACGAAACGACGAACACAAAATCCAATTGAACGGCGCCGATGCGTCAAACGATGTGATGATGCTCTCTTTCTCTGGTCTCTGTACTCTGAAGTGTATCGTAAACCATACGCTCGGAACAATACACACCGAACGGAACGAACGATAGATAAAATACGACAGTATCGAGTACACGGTGCACACTCGACAAAAGCTGACTGAAAACTGTCTGGTGGTAGCAGCAGAACGGAAAAAAAAACTGTTCGTTTCGGTTTTTGAAATGCAAGCGAAGCCTCAATCCGACAATAAAATACGAAACCAGGCGAACCACTGATGGAAAATTGTATACATAGCGGCAAAGTGACAGAGCGGCAATGTATACACATAAATGGGTGAGTGAATGTGTTTACGTTTGTCTCTCTCTCTCTGTGTGTGTGTGTGTGTGTGTGCGAATAAGAGAAGCGAAACAATAACGATGACGACGGCAACGGCAACGACCACCACCACGAAGTACATAAGGAACGAGGGAGAGAGACAGAGAGCGCTTTGTGTCGATGAAATGAAAACGACATCGCATTTATTTATGCATTGGATACGGACACATTTATGGATGGAGTGTAAATGTGTGCATGTGTATAGCCAGAACAGCCACAGCTACGGCTATAGATTTTTCGGTACCGAAACCGAGCGAAGCAAAATTCTCTTTCTCGCTGTGTGTGTGTGTGTGTGTTTGTGATACACAAAAGAGAAATGCTAACAACACACGAAGAAGGAATGAAAAAACCGACTTTGCTTTGCGATAAATACATACAGTGAAGCGAGGAGTGAAAAGACGCGTCAAGGGGGCCCGAAAAGGGAAGCAAAACTGAGAAACGCAATGTGATGGTGCGGTGGTTGTGAATGAAGCATTATAGAGTCACGCGAACAAACCGACAACCGATGTAATACAATCCGAGAGAGATGTGCGAACGAGACGGCGTGAATGGAGAAAATGTGGACGCGCGAATGAGACGCACAGCATCAGAGTACACACAGCAAACACACAAAAATTTACTGAACGATGCGTTCGAGACACCCGTGAACGTGTAAACGGGATGGAATGTGCTGCGATATGAATTCAACAACAACAACAACGAAAAATTCTAAGTGCGAGCGATGTATACGGTGTTCGTTTTTCTTCTTTTTTTTATTGTTGTTCTTGTTATTGTTGCTTGCTTTTACTTCTCTCTCTTACAAAACCATTTATTCGGGTGTATTTTTTTAGCTCGTCGTTTTCGTCTCTTTATGGTGTCTCTCTGGTGTTTGCTTCTCGTTGAGTTGTTCAAATGTACTTACATCTGAGTTCAGTATGTGTACGGGGTTTTTTTTTGCGCCAAGGTATTGTTGTTATTGCATTCTCGTTTGGATGTAGAGAATGGTGTATGTATGCTTTTTTTTTCTGCGCGTCTCTCTCGCGCGCGCTCCTTAAATAAAAATGTAGAAATGGAACGAGCATGCTTGGCTATAGCTCAGCGTATATATTTTTATACGTGTAATTTCTTTGGTAAATTTTTTATTTTGCGCTTGTTCGTTGCTATATTTGCATGCTTATTCAGATATACATATTCATAAAGGACGAGATAGAGAGTGAGTGAGGAAAAAAACGGCACCGAAGAGCAGAGAAAAAAAAGATGACAACAACAAAAAAGCTAAAGAGAAAAAAGCGCGTGAAAAAACACTCAAACGCGCTACAACAACATCAGCAGCAGCAGCAACGGAGTCGAGAGAAAAGTTGCGGGAAAATGTGGGAAAAAGACAGAGATGCAAATATTTGAGATGTGAATAAAAAAAAAATGTGTGTGCAAATATGGAATGGCACACTGGGATGATGATGATGGCAAAAATGCACATACAAAAACAGCAAAGCCCAAAATGAATGAAGAATGAGAAAAAAAAACAACTCCCTAAATAAACCGTCACTCAGCGATTCAAAAACAAAGCAGATGAACAGCAACAGAAAAAAAAACAACAACAACAGCAACCAGAGCACAGCGAGAGCGCTTAAGCGAATAAAGCAAAAAAAAGCATCGAAAATAAATTTCGGAACACGATGAACAACTCCATCGCCTGCTCGTTGAAGGGCAAATTGCATTTTGGCTCGGAATTATATGTATGATGCATGGACTTTATCGAAGCGAGCAAGCGAGCGAGAGAGAGAGAGAGAGAGAGAGTGAGTAAGGGAAAAGAGCGAACTAAAAAAACACACGGAGCAAAAAAAAAACTTCTCTGCTCTGATATTCTCTGGCATTGGCTTTAGTTTACAACGCACTGGCAGGTATAAATTATACCGTGCGGTAAAAGTCTCTGTAATGCAAGCATTCTATCGCTTAAAGAGATACCACATCAGCCATCAACATTAAGCATTCACGAGCAAAAACAACATGCAACCGAAGCAACGAACGAACGTACGTTGAAACAAACGACCGACCAGACCACTATGGCTGCGTCGGAAAGAGAAGGCAACATCATAATAAAGACTAATCGTTGCCTGTGTAAATTGTGTGTATAATCTCTTCGAATGCAGCATACGACACGCCACTCTATTTGCTTTCATTTGTTCATGTGCGTTTTTCACTCTCATCGCTTTCGTCGTTGTCGTCGTCGTCGTCGTCGTCGTCATCGTCGTTGACTCCGTCGTAGTCGGTAAAAACTTCACTCACCGAGTGTCTAATATACATGCAATACAATTATGCTATTCGCATGGATTCCATGCGGCGACAAAACGAGATGCAGGGCTCTAAAGAGTGAGAAAAACTGTAGCTTTATTCGTTTATTGTTCGGTTTTGGAACGTTCGTTGGCTCGTTGCTGTTGTTCTGCTTGCTGCTGTTATTATTGTTGTTGTTGGTGCGCTTTTTTGCCCTTTTCTATGTTTGCTTGATGTGATACGGGAATATCGAAGTACAGCGACACAAATATATGCACTATATGTGTGTGTGTGTGCCTTGTGCCTGTATATATAGATTGGGGGATCGAGTAAAAGTCGAGTGTTTTATTATATTATGTTTATACATGTGCGACACGATGCACATTGCACACGTACTTGATACGTGTGCGACGCGCCCCTTTGCCTCGTCTATTTTCTCCTCATGCTCTGACATCAAATAATATTTGACTAAAGTAGTAATTTGACGCAGTTTGCTTCATACTTCTTCTTCTTCTTCTTCTTTGCATTAGTTTTTTTTTCTGTTGTTGTTCGCCCGATAAATTCGGTATGACGGCGTAAACATGACGGTTGGCGCGGTTCGGCATGTGGTAACGATACTCGAAAATGCATGCAATGCGCGTATTCTCTATTTTGTTTAGTTTTTGGATGTGCATGTCAAATAGTAAACACGGAGAATGAGTGCGAATGTGCTACGACGACGAAAGCACAATGTCTTTTCTACGGCTCCCTTTACTGCTGCTCTCTTGCAACGAAATGAATATAGTACGTTGAGAGTCGAGAGAAGAAAAAAAAAACAACGAACGAGTAAGCGACGGCTCGAAAACAACAAGTAACAAGATAAAAGAAAAACCAACAACCTCAAAACTACCTACTTCACATGGCTGGCATGAACTAACTATTTATTGTCGTGTACTGAGGTTGTCGTTCGCTTTTTATTCTCTCGTTCTTCTCGTCTACTTTTTTTTTTGCTGCTGTTGCTGTTGTTGCTGTATGTAGTTGCTGTTATTGTTCATTCTGGCTGTCGTTTTACTCCTCGATCGACGTTTATCGTCATATATTCTCCCACTTTCATGCATTAATTTCGTGTGTAAGCTATAAATATGAAATTATTTTATGAATGGATTGTTAGAAATAAGCGTGAAAATATAACAACAATATTACACATTGACGAACGACCCGATGATTCGTACATCGAATAACGAATAGCATATCAAACAAGCGAACGAGAGAGAAAAAAAACACACCGTAAGTAATAACAGTCATAAACCAATGGTATGATGTTATTCTAAGCGCTTTATGTTACTTTTTGATGTGTGCACTTCCAACAATCAGCAGCAGCAGCAACAGCAGCCGTTCTGTATATGTCGAACCGATACTTTTACCCAGGCAATTCAACAATAACAACAACGACCATGAAAACAAAAACGGTCTATTTGAATATTTATTATTGAAAACGGAGATTGTAAAAACTGAAATAAACCATTTTATATTGTTTGGTACTTCACGTTGTAGAGGGTGAGCGAGCGGGTACCTGCAAAATAAAATGTGCAAATACCTCGTGTGCACAATCAATGTATATGCTCTGTGCTCGATGAGTGCTGAGCAAACCGATTTACATGCGTTATAATTGTGTGCAATAAATGGATACTTTTAGGCATAACACACACAATAATTGCGATTTACATATTTTTCAACTTTTTCATTTGGCATCTCTTCTCGCTTCTTCTGTTTATTTTACACGATTTCTTCATCTCTCGTCGTTCTGGCAACGGCGATGACGACGACAACAACGATGGAGAAGGAAGAAGGAGAGAAGTGAGCTAAAGAAAAAGCAGCAACAACACGCAGCCAAAGGAATTAGTGTGTATTTTACTTTGCGTTCGTGAGACTTTTACATGGATAATATACATTTGTTTTCATTTAAGATCTCTTTTTGCATGCCAGTCGTTTATTCGTAAATGCATTCGTTTTTTCTGCTCTCACTCCGTCCTTTTCAAGTTTTCTTCTTCTTCTTCTTCTTCTTCTCTCTCTCTCTCATCTTGTTCAATGTGTATTTTGTTGTTGTTGTTGTTGTTCTTCGCCATAATCATCTTCTCCTTTTCAATTTTGTCGTTTTCTGTAACGAACGAACGATTTTTTTTTGTGGCTGTTATTTATTCAGGCATTGCAATTTTTTCCACTGCTGCTTTAGATGACGACGGCAAGTCTTTTTTTCGCTCTTTTGGCATTCAGATGAAAAACACCCAACACCAACTATAAAAAGGATGAAGTATAACAACAAAATCAAGTAAGATAAAAATAATCAAAAATGAAGTAGAGGGAGAGAGAGAGAGGAGAGCGAAAAAAAAGCGAGAACCACCTAAAAAACAGAACCAACGGCAGCAGATAAATAAAATGAAAACGATGGTACTTTGCCTCTTGTGCCTCTCTATATCCAGTGCGCCTTTGTAACCGAGAGATTGCTCTCACTCTATAGAGCCCCGCAGTTGAATAGACACAAAAAACCGTACTCATACCTCTGCAAAGGAACAGCATTCAAACACACAGAAGAGGAAAAAAGCAACAACAAAAAAAAACGCTTCGAATATGGGAAATAGAAGAATTTATGGAGAAAAATACGCTCGAAATGAATACACTGCATACAAAAATACT